TACAGGTTTCTCTCCTGTTTTTTTTTTTATGGAAGAGTTCTCCACCTTGCTGCACATTTTTGATTTTCCACTATGATCATTTCCTGTTTAGATTTTATACATCCTAGTGAAAAGCATGTTTTTTCCATCTGTGTTTTTACATCTTTTACATGTATACCATCTACTTCAATGTTTTACAGTTTTTCAATTTCTGCACATTTTAAGTCTTTTCCTTGTTTGCACTTATCTCTGCTGATATTGTTTAGTCTTGTATGTATGACAACATTTCTTTGGATTATGTTTACCTCTCTTCCATTTTTCTTGTCTCTCTTTCATCAGGTTGGCTTTTGCTGTTGTCATTAGTGCTTCTTTTATGATGATCTTCTTAGAATCCCAGACATGTTACAAAGTTTCAAAGTTTCATGTTTCCTCTTAAATGTAATTACATATGCTTGTTTGGAAATAGTTTTGCTGTGGAGACCTTTTTTTTTATTTCAGTTTAGATATTGGTGTGGATCTTATTTCTTTTTGTAATTTTAACTTTATTTTGCACAATTTGTAAGATATTCCTATCACGGTGAGCATTTGGTTATACTTTTCAGTGCAAAGCCATATATCTAAATCATTTGTTGATAATCAACTGGTTAGTTTGAATTTTCATGTATCCTTCTGAACTTTTCCAAGTCCACAAGCAGATATCTTCTTCAAACCAGTATTTGTTGATAGTTGCCTAATGACTGTGTTCTTCATGTTCATATTTAGCCAACTATCTATTTCTTCTAATGGCCAAGTGGTTAGATCATTAGTGTTCCAACCATGAGACCTGGCTTTGAATCTTACCATGGTTAATATTTCAGGAAGTTGACTTCTTGATAATGTCAGCCTAGGTATTTACATTGTTCGGACTGTTGTCTTCATCTTTATTATCATGTTCACAATGTTTTGGCCATTGTATGCTCTGGCTCTGTGATTAAAATTTCAAACTGAACCCTTTATTTTGTCCACTAGGGTAGATTGTTCTAGTTCCATGTACTATGCCTCTTCCTAATGTCTCACTATCAGTTATCAGTGTTTAAGTCAACTCTCTAAGTTTTTGTTCACCACTGCAGTAGCCAGTTATTGAATTCATAGCCCAGTAGATAAAAGCATTGGTTGGATCCAGTAACTCAACCCAATGAGTTGTGAGTTCAATACCTGGCTACTGTAGTGGTGAAAAGTGCTTGGAGAGTTGAGTTAAAGGGAGATAAATGAAACATCTGGAAGAGGCATGGCACGTGGAACTAGAACAATCTACCCCAGTGGATAAAATAAAAGGTTCAGTTCAAAATTCCAATCACCTGAAGAAAGTCAGAGCATACAACAGCTGAAACGTTGTGAACACAACAATAAAGATGAGGACAAGAGTCCGAACAATGTAAATAAGATAAATAATTACAATACCTCATCTTAGAAATATAGACACTCAGTCCAGGTGCTATGCTACAATATGTGGCACCATTGGGCAGTGACTGAAAACCAAAATATCATCCAAGACATATGAGTGGAAATGGGTAGATAGAACTGTTCAGAACCCATCAATGGTTGTGCTAGTATGAAGTCATGAGTCATCATGACTGAGGATGTGAATGTACTGGCCTTGTTCCAAACTGTTGATCTTGCCAAATGAGACACATTCTCCCAGAGACTGGACAGCTTATTTTTTTTAATCATTTCACTCCATGGAAGCCACTTAGATGCAAGGGGTGAGAGTACTGAGAAAAATTCTCCGCTGCCTTAACCGGGTATTGACAGGACCCAAAGAGTGTGAGTTCAATACCCGGTTAAAGCAGTGGAGAACTTTCAGAGGGAAATTAGCAGGAGATAACATGGCATGTGGAACTAGAAGTCTACCCCAGTGAGCGAAATAAAGGGTTTAGTTCAACATTCCAACTACCTGAAGAGTGTATAATGGCCGAAACATTGTGATAAATATGGCGACAAATATGAGGACAATAGTCCAAATAATGTAAATAATGTATATTTCATCTTGTCTTTACCCAATTCTTCTTTTAATCTGTGCAATCATAAATATTGGCTATTGAGTGGATGGCTTTTCTGAGCCCAAACTGAATTTAAGCAACCCCAGCTGGGAGAAAGATCAAGATATTAAGATCTAGAAATGATTAATGAATTTGAAAGTTTATCAAGAATCACCATTAAAAGTGAGTTTTTTCTTCTCTCACTTAAGTTTATCACCAGGATCTGCTTACAACATTAATATAGATTCAATAAAGAGAGAAAGAGTAAAGGGGAAAGCATATGGTCACTGAAAGTGCATATGGTCACTAAAATACATGATTCTGATATCATTTTTCTCAAATATATGCACTGCACTGGCAACAAAATCTCTGATGATTTTATAGTAAAAAATAATCAGCTAACTCAAAAACCAAGTTGCTTTTATTGGTGCACATTTAGAAATGATTTGCACCTCAACATATTTGAAAAAACAACTTTATAAATTATGCCCAGACAAATTTTTCTGACATTCACTGATCTGATATTGGCCTTTTAAGATCATGGTTGAACAAGTTTCCAAGCTTTGATTATCTTGTTCTTTGAGAGTTTATTCTTTAATCTGCTTACCGAACTGAATCTGGTGAATCTTGAGTAAGGTGATGAGGTTAGCCAATTTATTGCCTGAGAAATCTCTTTTTAAATTTATTTCCTTGCTCTTTTCCTTGCAAATAAAATAATTTTTGATCATCAAAAATAATTTTACAGTGGTGTATAAGTTCCGTTTTAACTTTTATGTGTTTATTTTTCATTTTTCTCACTTGCTCATTTAGAATTTATTGAATTACTAATAAGAGATACATTTTCCCTCAAATTTCAGTTTTCTTTGCTTCACAAGAGTGAATCATTTAATTTTAGTTATTATCATTTTTGCTTTAAATTTGTTTTTAATTCAAAGAATTTAAGGATTCATTATTGGCAACATGGAATATATTTTCATGCATATATTTTTTATTTTATCACTGTTTGTTAATTTGTTTATTTTCTATAGAAAATATGGAACCACTGATTATATATTTTTTATTAAAATATTTTCTTTTTATTATTTGTTTTACATTTTGCTTTGGAATTTCAAGATTAAAAATAAATTAACTGTACCCAGAAAATTTTATCGTAAGGTTGTGGTGGATATTTATTTAGCAACTCAGAATAGGGTTTTAGCTAAAAAAATTCAATTTAGATTTTTGCATTACAAATGACTCCTTATTTGTCTACTTTTTTAAAACTCAATTTTCTTTCAAAATTCTTTGTCTATTTCGCTTTTTAATCTGTCAAAAATCATGATCACTTTACTTCCTTTTGTTTCATCTGTGGCAATGGTTCTCAATTAGAGCCCAAATGGACCCTGGGGTGGGGTGGGGGGTCCATGTAACATAACTGGGAGTCCACACAAAAAAATAGCAAACTGGGGTTCACAGTAATATTTTAGTGGTCCATAGAGCAATTTCACTTCAGAATGGTTGTTACAACTGGGAATCTATGCTATATTAAATTACTAAAAATAGAAAAACAACTGTAAAACTATCAAAAAACAAGATCAAGTGATGTAAGTTAGCATCCCTTTTGATTGTAAAAGTTGAATAAAAACTGAGAAGGATATATAAAGGAAATTTATATGAAGATGATAATTTATTATATAAATTAATTTAATATATTAATAATAAATAATAATATTAATTTTAAATATTAATAAAATAAAATATTAATATATTAATATAGTAATAGACTTGGCATTGTAAAAAGGGGTGATCTTTGATTATCATTGACATTGATGGAGCCAAATATAAAAAAATACTTGCAGAGCAGCATCTACCACAGGGATCTCATTGAATAAATCTGCACTTTTTTCATTTATTAATTACTGACATATTTTAAAATGGGTTATTATGAGTTATTTTACTAGTGTATATAAATAATCCTTAGAATTTAGTTGTTAAATACAAGTTCATTTTCATTAAAATAGTTTTACTTAAAATAAAGTATATATATTTACTATTTCTATAATACCATTCCTAAATTTATCTATTAGTCAAAAATAAAATAAGTTTTTTTTTCATCAAATGCTTATGGTGGTTCATCAAAAAACATCGAGTAAGAGTGATCCATGGGTAAAAAAAGATTGAAAATCACTGATGTAGGTCTTCCATATATGTTAATCCTTTTCTTCTTTCTCATTTTCTTTCTTTCTTTTTTATTTATTAGTTTATCTACTGTTCTCCCTCCACCTCCTTATTTCTTTTAATAGTTTATTTTTAACTTTTCTTACACATTTTTTCTTAATTCTCTTCCTACCTTCATCTTACCTTTCTTTCTTTTAACAGTTAAGATATCATTATTTTTCTTTCCTACTATTTTCCTTCACATTTTTTTTCTTTCCTACTATTTTCCTTCACATTTTTTTTCTTTCCTACTATTTTCCTTCACATTTTTTTTCTTTCCTTATTCTGTCTAACATATTTTAATCATGTTTTCTTCACCTTTATCTCTTTAATGATTTTCTCCATCTATTCTTTCTTTTTTCACCTTCTTTTTGATATTTTCTTTCTCTCTCTCTCTCTTTCTCTCTCTCTCTCTCTCTTATTTTTCTAAACTTTTTTTTTTCTTTGACTTCAGCAGCAAGAATTCTGAGCTAACCTTTGACACTAATTTTCCTACTCATAATTAATGACCTGACCTTCTGCTTCACTAACTGACAAACGGAATATTTCAGTTGGACCAACTTTCCAATCGTTTAAACACAGGCAGATAGAAAAGACAGCTTTTTGCCTCAAAGATAATTACTTAGGTGGCTCAAAGTGCAAGAGAATTTATTTCATATTGCTCAAGTTAAAATGCTGTTTGTGGGCTTTGCTAAACTTTGGTGACTTTAAGGCTATCAGATAAAAAACAACTGAAAATTGAGAGATGAAACACCAACTATATCCTGTTGGATGCAAATATTTTGACAGATGAGCTGATTTAACTTGTCATAGAATGTTAAAGGCAATCTTTTTTTTTACTGAGGCAAAAATAAAGGAAGCAAAACCAATAACACAATGATAAGAGAGAGTTGAAGGAGAGTGTAAATATTGTAAAAGAAATATAAGACATGTAGACAAAGAGAGAAAAGAGAAGAAATGAGAGTGACCAAGTACTGGAAGGGAGTGATGAAGAAAGTGAAAGAAAGAAAACGATTGGGAGAAAAAGCAGAAAAAAAAGGTGAATGATGAAGAGAGAAAATGAAAAAAGAGAACAAGTAAAAATAGATTTTCTATTTTTTCTCTGTAAAGGTGAGTGATAAAGAAAGTTAGTTTAAAAATGAAGGAGAATAAAGAAAAGTAGAAAAAGAAAAGTGAGTGATGAAGAAAGAAAGTGAAAAAAAAGAAATATAATAAGGAAAAATACAAAAAAAGGTGTGTGATGAAGAAAGAAAGTGGAAAAAGAAAGAGAATGATGGAAAAATAAAAAAATGATATGTAAAGTTTACATCTATACTTCAGCTAGGAAAATGGTGTAAAAACGTTTTTTTTTAAACTGTTAAAAATCAAAAATAAATTTAAAAAAAATCAAGAGTCTAAAATAGAATTCTTGTTAGAGAAATCATGACAAACAATCTTCAAGAACACCGCCACTATTCTTCAACCTCAAAAAATAGAAAAAAAAAATACTGACTTTTGATGCCATACTTACATTGTAGCATGAGAAACAAGTTTTAAAAATCTAAAAATGAAAAATTGAGCTTAAAATTTCTGTTTTATTCTGGAAACTTAGGGATAAATTTTATATAAATGGATTTAATTATTCAAAGTCTCAGCTTAGTTTTCTCCTCTTGTGATCCCAGATTTTCTCAATTTTTCTGACTATTTTGAAATACCAGCTTGTAATATGTTTACACTATTCTTATGACTTGTGCCTATGACTGAAATTCTTCCTCAGTGTCTCCCCTGGCTAAAATCTCTTCCTTTAGATTTGAAATCCTCTACTTAGAGCTAAATACTTCTTATTTGAGAATCACTAAGTTTGAATAACCTTGTTTCAAGTAAATTTTAAAATGAAAAATATACTTCCAAATTCTGATGAATAATTCATAGTATTTGTGTGACTCATTTTCAAAGCTAAATTTTGTGCATATTTTGCTCTAGTATAACCCTCACTGAAATCATTATTTACACTCTCCCCTAAAACACTCTCTCTGCCTAGAGCAGAATGTGCACTCACATTATTCAAGTCTCTCTTGTAGGCATACAAAAGGCAATTATCTCTCTCTTTTTTTGAGACAAATTCATTAAGGCCACATGACAGCTGGGGAGTGACTTCAGATGATAAAGTGATGAACAACAGTTGGGATGTAAAACCAGAAGAAGGATGTCCGTAGCCCACAGCGGTAGATCTTACAGAAAAAAAATACATGACATCACCAGGTTCATGGAGAAATTGCTTTAACCTCAGTTTTCCATTTGAGAAATATTGCAAGTAACATTACAATTTTTTTATACACTTCTTGTTGTTGTATGAATGTTATAATTTCTCTATGTGGGAAAAATGCATATATGTATATATAATTGTATATTTAGGCAGCAATCCTTCCTTTATGCATGTTTCATTAAAAAGGACAGACAAGGTACTACAGTTGAGCTTTTTATTTAATTTTTCTTGTGTTCTGACAAGAGCTTTCTTTTCTGGACAAAGGGTGTGTAAGAACTGTCCGAATGTTTTGTATTTCCGAGCGAACAAAGCCATAATGTGCTAACCGTATTCGGAAATTAAAAACATCACTACCACACACTGAACATACACAGAATGCACACACTCTACTAAGCTGATAATCGAATCATCCTTGATAATGGCTAAAGGTATAGCCGAAAGCGCTCGGAAATACAAAACATTCGGACATTTCTTACACACCCTTTGTCCAGAAAAGAAAGCTCTTGTCAGAACACAAGAAAAATTAAATAAAAAGCTCAACTGTAGTACCTTGTCTGTCCTTTTTAATGAAACATGTATATATAAATATATTGGAGAACAAAGCAAATTTGTCATTCCTTTTCTCAGCTACTCCATTTTGTCATGATTATTAAAACATTATTATATCATGGATATAATAATGCCCATAATGGGAAAAATACAAAAAGAAGAATAAACCCTTCTCCTATAGTGTACACATTATCTGGTGATATTCCTGACATGACATTTTATTTATCTCCATTACTTTCTTGTGTATGTACAGAACATCCATGATGACTTAGTTTATCTTTATGAAAGAACATTCTCAAACTATAATTCATATCACTAAATTATTCATTAGCTTAAACTTCTAAAATGCCATTTTCAAAAATGGCAGGTTTAATTACAAGCATTTCCATTATTTTCTTTATTCAAACAATAAACACAATAAATTCCCTTTGTCAACAACTATGTTCCTGCTGGGTAAATACAGAATAAATTACATCAATTAGCATCTTGTAAAGTGTAACAGTGAAAACTAAAGATGCATTAGGATAGTGAAAGATGCCTTCCAAAAGCAAAGTAAAGTATTAAAAACAGGAAAATTTCATTAGAAATAAAGAAAAGAGTACTTAAATGTTACATAATATGAGTCCTCCTGTACAGTTGTGAATACTGAATAATCTCCTCACAGATGAAGAAGAAGAAGCTTGAAGCAATATAAATGTGGTTCTACAGAAAGATGATGAGAATACCATGGACTGAACATGTGAGCAATGACAAAGTTATGGAGAAAATGGAAACACTTATTGTTAACATTATAAAGAGTGTGTTGAAATTTTCCAGGAAAGAGTACTCGGAAAATTTGATACTCACAAGACAGACTGAAGGCAAGAGGGATAGAGGAAAACAGCACAAAACCTACCTAGCTAGTTTGAGTAAATGGATGGTGCAACAAGGTTTAGGAGAGATAAAAAGATAAAGTTTATTAAGAGCAACAAAAGCCAGGAGATTATGGAGAGCTATGATCGCCAGTGCCCTGAAGGGACACAGCCCATAGAAGAAGATGAAGCACTTTTTTTTTATAAACATGGAATTCAATCAGATGAGTTGACTTCAGTTGAAATAACATTTGCACAAATAAAAATGACTTTAATTAAAGACATTTTTAATTTGTGCAAGTATTCTATTTCATTGCAAATGTTACTTCATAATATTTTTATTAATCAAACTAATCCCAGTTGGTTTTAAATGAATTTTCTCCCCCATAAAAAGGTTTTCAGCAATATTGTCAGACATTAGATGATTACAACTTGTGAACACTTGAATAGCATGATTGTTTTATATGTTCTACTATATGAAATAATTAACCTAGAAGTATTCCAAAGAAATTTGTCAGTTCAAAGCAAATTCAGACACAATCTATACATTTTTTGAAATAAAATATTTTTAAGTAATCATTTTGCTAATCACAAGCAAAAATTAAAGTACATCCTACTGTGTATAAAACTTTAGCAACACTAACATTGTTCTGTTACTTTTGCTTATATAAAATTAATTAATTAATGGCAATTAAGAAAGAGAACAAAAATAATTCATTGAGCAACATCAGAGGATTTAGTGGAGAATTTGTTATTTTCAAGAGTATGTCTGAACAGACTGAATCCAGAAAAAAAGAAAATTATTGATTTATTCATGTTTATCTGAAAATTAATACCTTTACAATGCAAAAAATATATATAAAACTGCAAAAATAATATTTTTGCAAGATTTTCAAATTGGTAGATTTTGATATAATAAACAAAAAATGATCATCACTCAATGAATATTGATGATTTGGTGTTTAGTTAAAAATACTATTGTTTTAAGAGAAAAGCTAAATTTATTCTATGAATGTATGAAATAAAATAAAGCAATGATTTTCATTCAACCATCATCCAGTGGAAATGTTATGAAATGAAACTTTCACCATCATTTGACTATAAAGAATGCGGTTGTTGAATTGTTGCTTAGTGCTTAGTTGAAATTAATGATTTTTTTAAAAGAATTCAAAGTGAATTAATGATTTTCATTGATCATCTATAGAACACAAACTGATTAATTCAAACATGGGAAGACATGGAACAGGATCAGGTTTTTACAATTTAATGAAAATTAGTTCTGTTTTATTTTATTATAAATCAAACTGATTGGCTCAGCATAAGTAAAACATTTTGATGAATGCTTCAGAAAATTATTTTATGTAAGTTCCTTTAATACACTCAAAAAGTAGCATTGATTTCTGGTTCTTTGGTTGAACATAGATTTCATTATGATTAAGTTTTCTTATTAAATCTAAACAATACATTGAATATAATTTAACATGGTTTAAATTAATACAAAAATACTTAAAATATATTGACTTATTTTAACTAACTTGTAAAAAAATGTATATTCACTTATGATACCTGTGTGGCGTCAAGGGAGTTAAGATCAATGAACTTCACCTTATATCAAATGCAATATACTTTGTCATAGGTGATGACATTTGAAAATTTATTTGAAACTTAAAAATAATTTTTTTTGAAGTATATATATATGTATATTATATATATATATATATATATATTATATATATATATTTATTATATACATCATATATATTATATATATTTATTATATACATATATATATATATATATATATATATATATATATATATATATATATTATATACATATATATTATATATATATATATATATATATATATATATATATATATATATATATATATATATATATATGCAATGTCATTTGCTATCTGGTGTCCTACTGATTACTCTTCCTTTGTTCCTACTCCTTAGTAATGTTCCTAATTCCTCCATACTATACCAAATAACTCCTAGTGTCTTAGTGGCTTTACAGCTTTTCTTGGGGTGAACTTGCTTAAAAGGAAGAAGAAATTTCACACATATATATATATATATATATATATATATATATATATACACACACACACACACATATATATATATATATATATATATGTATGAAGATATTGTGAAAAGTTTTTGGCCTGACAAAGATCTTCCATAAAATCTGATGCTTTTCATCTGGTCAGATTTTAAGAAATTAGTTTGGTCAACAGAAATGATAAAAAAGTGAACATTTCACTCCAAGTAGTCCAATCTATATATATATATATATATATATATATATATATATATATATATATATATATATATATATATATATATATATATATATTTACATACTCATGTATAGATTGAACTACTCAAACTACTATGTCATGATGAACAATTTTTTTTATTTGTATATACATACATGCTTACATTCTATATAGCTTGGATTACTATATAATGTTGAAGAAATTACTGGCATTTTTTTTTATCATGTAAACTATTAAGCATACAATGCTTGTTCTAGAAAAATTATGATAAGCTGATTAAATATTGTAGGCAATTTACTGTGTCAAAAAATCAAGTCATACAGGCTGTGAAATTGTTGAAATGTTAATAAATTTATTTCCTGACATAAATAAATCTGATATTTTAGCAATGCAGACAAAATGTCAGTCTAAATATGGGGGATAAGAGTGATTCTAATTTTACAATGAATGAACCCATCTCTCCTTGATAACAGTACACCAGCACAAGAATAGCAAATTACTTAAATGTTCTAATTCATTTTATTTGTGTCACATTCACATCTTTCTTAGTTTATTTCCTAATCGATTTTATCAATATATTGACCATAACTTCTTTTATTTATTTTATTCAACTTTTCTACATTCAGAGAGTCATTTGTTTTCATGTATATGGATTCATTTCATTATAAAATCTTTAAAAATGGAACATCATAGAAAAATGAAACTTCTAAAAGGCTAATTAAACCCCACTGATTGCATTGTAGATTTGTCTTCAGCATTTTATTTTTATTACTTTTATTATTTATTGATATTATTATTTCACTGTTTTATTTATTCATTTTATATCAGTTTTATGATTTTACAGTTTATTTTTTAGTAATTTTTATAGCTTTAAATTTAAATGAAAAAAGGACGTTTTTATTATACATTGGTATATTTTATATTTTTATTATACATTTTTGTTATAGATTATTTGATAATCATTATGACAATGTAAATTTTGTTGAGAAATGAAACAGAAAACCAGTGTATCTGTTAGAAAAAGATTCTTTATGTTTTACAGTGATCTTCTTTACAAGAGAAAATACATTCTGTCATTTCAAATAATTGTTTTAATTATTTTCTTTGCCTCACATAATAGTGATTTTTTTTAACAGAAGAATGTTTTCTTTCTCAGAACTTCACTAAAATGAGATATTTTACTTTCATTTTTCCTTTTACAAGAAATAAAAAAAGACAAATTTGCTGACCATCAGGTAAAGGAATTTAAAGCATTGATTTTTTTTTTCTCTCTTTTCAGTCTATCCAGTCTTTCAACACCAAAGATCAAAATCCCCTTGCTGAATAGTTTTCAGCTATCTTTGTTTGCCAGTGGACTTTGTATAAACAAAGATCTTTGCTGTGAAAACATTTGTAAACTATAAAAGAACTTTTATGTTAAGAACAATGGCTTTCTACAGAAAGAGACTTGATTAAACCAATAATACACTTAAGGATAATAAAAGAGAAGATTTTGTTTGAAATAAATCCCAAAAATGATGACTGGAGATTTTAGCAACTGAAATATTGTAATAAAAATGATGAAAATGAGGCTGCCAAGTTGAAATGAATGAACTTTTAAGAAAGTTAAATTTGTTTTGACAATTTCTTGACACAAAAATGAATGAATAATATACAGGGTGCAACGAGTAAATTTTCACCATTTTATATTTTTAAATTGCACATGCCTGTTGTTTGTTTGTTTTTGATTTTGTTGACTGCACAGTATAGGAGGGTCAGTTGGGCACAGTTTGTGAGAAAAAGAGCATCATAATGCAATTAACTTTGTCAGAAAAATAGAAACGGCATGCTGTACTAACTGGCATTCACCCTGGAAACCCAATACAAACATTTCAGAGTGTTTGGGAGTGTGCAGAGAATTTGGAAAGAGTTGGGTGAGTCTAATGGTGATTACGAAGGTATGGCAGCTCAGAAAACTCACTCTGACTGCTCTGATGAGAAAAGAACTCACAAATTTGTTGGCGAGGGCCTCAGATTCAACATGGAGGCCTACATCAAGTGTCTTGAAGAGGTAATGCTGCCCTGGGTCAAGAGGGTGGCTAATGGAAGACCCAATGTCTGGCAATAGAACTCTACACCATACAAGCAAAAGAACCCAGTCATGGTTGCCAGGCAATTTATGTGACTACATCACCCTTTGCGTCTGACCACCTAACTCCCTAGACTGCAACCAACTTGATTATTATGTGTGAGGTGCAGTTGAGCATGATCAACAAAACTCTTTGTAACACCAAAGATAAACTGAAGGCAAGTATTATGGCAGCATTCACCAACTTAAACAAGGAGACTGTCCAGAAGATGTGCAGGAGATTCCAAAGTTGTCTTGAGGCCATGGTTAAAAATAAGGGCGATTTTGTTGAATAAATTTACTCTTTAGTATTTCATGATATGTATATGTAATTTTGGTAAATATATCTGTTAAAATGAGAAGTCAGTGTAATTTTCATTTTTTTTGCATAATTTAGTCGACAATTTATCCATCGCACCCTGTATATAGAGGCAGAAAATAGTTTCATATTTTGTTGCTACACAGGCAGTAAAAAATGAATCAGTGAGCAGGAATGAAAAAACCTTTGTATCATTCATTGCAGTGTTTTTTTTTTCATTCATCTTTATAAGAATTGTTGGATAAGCAGACATCATTTATATAAAGCATATTCAATTCAATTCTGCAAGAAATAAAAAAGGCAATAGCAGTAGTAACTACTATGTCTACCACTATGATAACATAGATAAGACAAGACAGATGGAGAAGAAGATAGATAGATAGATATAAAAAGACTGCGATAGATAGATAGATATGAATAGAATGAGATAGATAGATATAAAAAGACTGCGATAGATAGATAGATAGATATGAATAGAATGAGATAGATAGATAGATATAAAAAGACTGCGATAGATAGATAGATAGATATGAATAGAATGAGATAGATAGATAGCTATAAAAAGACTGCGATAGATAGATATAAAAAGACTGCGATAGATAGATAGATAGATAGATAGATAGATAGATAGATAGATGACAAAATATATATAATGAAGGAAATTTTCATCTTATAAAAGTTTATTGCCTTTTCAAGTGAAGGAACTTTTGTAGACAAAAAGCAAGTAAATTCTGTGTTCAATAGATTTAAAAAGAAAGCAGTTCATTTTTTTAAAAGATAGCAGGTCATTCTTTAATAATTTTTCATAATTACTAATTATAATAATAATAATAATAATAATAATAATAATAATAATAAATGTCCTGATGCTACACCAGGTATGGACCTTATAGCTTTTGATCTTAATTGATTGAATGTTTTAACAAGTACATTTTTGTCTCATTGAATTAAAATAGCTTATAGTAAATATCCCATTCAGTACCATATATTTGGTTCAATCTTAACCTGTTGGGCATGTACCCTAAGAGCTGACACACTGTGCAATCTCTGTTCATGAGTGCAGGTAGTCAGGGAAAATCCTGTCTGAATGTTGAATGTTGTTTCTTTTAAATTTGAAGTATAAGGCAGCCAAGGCAACTCAGGAGTTACATCAAGATATTTGGGGAACACCCCCAACTGGAAAATGTCTGAGCTGACTAGCTTACTTAATCTGAAGGTATTTGAAGGTTATCTATTGCTTTTATCAAAACTTGTCACAATATTGCACACATTTGGCTGTGATGCATGTGTTTGGTATACCCTTATTCAGGCTGGGTGTAATGATGGCGATATTGGGTTATGTATATTTGTCTGCCACAGTAACTTTGTTGACAAGCTGATCTCTCTAAATAATAATATTTCTGGCATACTCTTATCAGATTGGGTATCATAATGTGTTGATAGGAGACACATAAAGCAAACTACAGAATGTAGTGAAGGAAAGCAAGAAGAAAGGATTAAATATCAACTGCAAGAAGACAGAATGCAAGGTTGTTAGTGCAAACTGCAAATCAGAGATGCCAAATATTTAAATATCTTGGAAGTGTTTTAACAGAGGACAGAAAGTGTGACACTGAAATCCAAAAGCATATTGGGATAGCCATGAATGCCTTCCAAAAACTAAGAAAAGTTCTAAGAAAAAAGAAAAAGAGAAAACAAGGAAAAGAGTACTAAACTGTTATGTGATATCTGTCCTCGTGTATGTTGGACAATCTCCTTAAAGATGAAAAAGAGACTTGAAGAAACAGAAATGTGGTTCTACAAAAGGATACCATGGACCAAACATGTGAGCAATGATAAAGTTTTAGAAAAAATGGAAACAAAAAAGTAACTTATACTTAACCTCAGGAAGAGACAATTGAGGTTTCTAGGACACATAATGAGGAAAGAGTGTTTGGAAAAACTGATACTTACAGGACAGATTAAAGGCAAGAGGGATAGAGGAAAGCAACACATAACATACTTAGTGAGCTTGAATAAATGGATGGTAGAACAGGGTTTAGGAGAAATAACAAAAAGACAAAATTTATTAAGAGATACTAGAGACAATAAGTTGTGATCACACCTACATCCTGAGGGGACAGAAAGTACGGAAAGAAGATTATGATGTGTGTGCTGGGTTCTGTATATTTGTACCCCAGTATCACTTTGTTAGAATACAGCTTTCAAAGTTAATAATAAATTATTTAGATTATTTTTATCACATCCACATCTTTCTTTGTTTATTTCCTGATCCATTTTATCAATATATTGATCATAACTTCTCTCTCACTTTTTTAAAAAATTAACTTCTCTACATTCAGAGAGTCATTTGTCTCTGTGTATATGGATTCTTTTAGGTATCAAATATTTAAAAATGGAACATCATATAAAAATGAGACTTATAATAGACTAATTAGACGCTACTGAGTGAAACGGAGATTTTTATCCAGTATTTTATAACTTTTATTATTTATTAATATTATTATTTCATAGTTTTATTTATTCATTTTATATCAGTTTTATGATTTTACAATTTATTTTTTATTATTTATTTTTATAGCTTTAAATCTGAGTGAAAAAAATAACATTGTTATAATGCATTGTTATTATAGATGATTTGATTATCATTATGGCAACATAATTTTTTAAACCTTGGTATTTCTTTTAGAATAAATTAGTATTCACATTATCCTGAATATCCCTGAGCATCTGATTCAAAATTACACAAGTGAGAACTGCATTGGCTTTATATACTTAAGTTGAATTTAAGTTGTGAGAGAATGGAACTTAGAATGGGAAATGAAAAACTTAGTAACTTAGGCTCTTCTTCTTCATTATGTATGATATCCATTCAGGACATATGTGATGATATCTCTTTTCATCTTCTTATCACTTGTAGCTGTAAGCAATGTATGACACTTTAACATCCTTCTTTGTTCATGCCATTCATTTACACTAACTCATTAAGTTACTTGTGTTTCTCTGTCCCTTTAATATGTCAGCCCTCTTTCCTCATAATTTTGTCCTAGAAATTTCAACTGTTTCTGATTTTAAGCATACATTTTCTTTTTTTTTTCTCATTTTCTTTAAATTTTCCTCATTGTCTCTATGGTATTCTTAGTATCCTTCTGTAGAACCACATCTCTGCTGTTTCAAGTTTTCTCTTCAACTGTGATGAAATTGTACAGCAAGGCAGGAGTTGCCAGGAGTGGTGTCATCCTTCTGTAATCCAGCTACTTGGAGGCATGGTCAGGTGGCCAGTTGGAGTTCAGATAAAGGTGTTCTTAACAATGTTTCTAAGGAAAGCCAATGTGGGCAAGAAACTAAGACAAGTGACCATGTTTCTTTCTTTTTGTCTTTTACTTCACTTTTGTTTTACATCAAACTATTTTGCCAGTGCTGCCTATTTATTGATTCCCTAAAATGGAAAAGGTGAAATTCGGCAGCGACATAATAAAGCCTTTCCATGGTTACAGAGATGTGGTGGCATGGCTCAAGAAAATAGAAGATGTGGTAAGCCTTTTAACTTTATATTTGGCAGTAGATGTGCTCCAACTCTATTTGAAGATGGACGAGGATCAGCAGACGAACATCGACTTGACTGGAACCCAGTTGAAGGAGGTGTTTTTTGGCAGGGCGTTCTCTGCTTATGCAAAGCTTAAACTGGTTAGCTGGACAGGAGAGCATGTGGATGTTTGCGCCAACAAAATATGACAACTGGTTCACTGGGCGCGGTCTTGAGACAGCGATGAAGCTGGCACTCATGACAAGACTTGGAGGCATAGTTGGGTGGCTGGTTGGAGTTTGGGAGAAAGGCGTTCTTAACAGTGGACAGCCAGGGCAAGCAGGAAACTGAGACAAGTGACCATATTTCTTTCCTTTTGTATTTTACTTCACTTTCTTTTTGCATTATGCATAGAAATTGTACAGCATTCACTATCATAAAAATGATATGATATAGCAACGCAACACTCATTTATTTGTTTGTGATTAGTTTTTTCTTTCCTTTAGTATTTTTAGTTTCTAGAAAACATCTTTTGCTATATTCCAATATGACTTTGGATTTCTGTGTCACATTTTTCTTGTCTGTTGCTATACTAACTAGAGACTTAAATTTCTGTATTTGTTTGATTTTGATAAATATAATTTGTAGCTCATACAAAAAAGATTTTCTTTCTTGTAGATGGCAATACAGTCTTATATTTTCTTTTACTATTGTTCATAATACAAGGTTTAAGAGTCATTCAGTGTAGAGGATTACTAAATAAGGATGCTGTCTGCATGTACTTGGAGGCAGATCTTTTGGTTTATGGTATAGGAAAATGACCTATCTTTGTTGAAAGTTGTATATTTCAGTCAAGCTGGAATGTATTCACAGAGAACAAGAATATTTTCGACAATCAGATCCTGTTCAAAAGACAACCTGTAATTATCAATAAGAAAGAATAATCCAAAAGTCTCTTGAAGGATGGATTCAGGTAATTATCAAAGGATTGTCTATCAATCAATGAACAAAGATTCAAAACTTTAAAAAACTGTGAATAATTCAGTTTTTGTCTATTTATACATGTGTATTGCTTCTAACTCTAATATATAACAAAAGGGAAAAAAAACATTGAATCAATCATTTTATTCTTAAACAAGGAAATTTTAAACTAAGAATCTCTTTGGATAGTTTAAAGGGCCAACTAGGTAAAAATTAGAGGAATGATAATATATCAGGCAGTAAATCAAGATTTATTATCTTGAAAGGTTTTGAAAAAAAAGATTTAACACTTACTGACATAAGCATTCTCACATACATAAATATATGAGCTAGAAATGATTGTGGAAGAACATTATATGTAATTATTTACTAATGAATCAAAACATTATGGTCAGCAGCATGTAGTGAGAATGACAGCTACTGTCTCATAACAGTTGTACATGTCATAATCAGAGATATGTAAGCTGGTAAACTGGCCTAAAGTATTTCACAGTTGCACGTGATAAAGAAAAATCCAGTTGTTGTGGATAGATTAGGTTGGAGCATTTCCAAAATAGAATAGGTTGTAGGGGTTTTACTTTCAACCATGTTCAAAAAATCACCAATCACCAAGAAGGTATTTGATGGCCAAATCTAATCAAACTTAAAAGTGAAAGGAACTTTTTACAAGTATCATTTAACAGAAGGGCTATTGAGGTAGAGAATACAAATAGCTTTAATCAAGGTGAAAGAAGGAAACTGTCACAACATATAGTACACATCAATCCTTTTTGCATATGAGGGTACATAGCTGTAGACCAATCAGAGTACCTATGTTTACCAATGTCCATCACTGAAAACTAGAATTCTATCAATGAAAGAAAGTGCTTGGTCCAATGTCTCTCATTTTCCCCTGAATATGATGAACAGCCAGGTGTATGTCTATTGTTTTCCTGGAAAAATACAGCACCAATTTGCACTGTGGTAAGACAAAATGATGCAGGTACTGCACGAGTTTGGGCAACATTCTATTGGGTAACATTGTCTTATCATTCATGTGGAAGATACTCTGTCATGTAACCACCTATTTCAAGAACCAACAGAAGACCAGGTACATCTCTTCAAGGAAACAGTCTTCTATAATGGTATTGGTATTTTGCAGCAAGACAATGGACCCATCTATATTGCTCTTTTTGTGCAGGAATAGTTTCCAGGACATGAACAAAATTTTACAGTATTTTCCTGGCTCGATCTCAGTCACATTGAGCTCTTATGGGATGCGTTGGAAAACAGACTTCCTATTTTCTTCTATTTGCTGCATACTAAGACCCTCAAAATAAGAAGTATAACTCCTGTTGCTTTGAAGGTTGCATCCTTTTAATTATAATTAATATTAATTCCAAGAGAGATAGTCAATCAAAGGCAGAGACAGAATGGATTCAGAGAAGTATCAGTCATATAGACAAAGAGATAAATATTTGCTCATTTTGGTATTGAATGTATAGTAATAATGAAACTCATTACACACACACACACACACACATACATATATATATATATATATATATATATATATATATATGAGAAAATAAAGAACAAATAGAAAATGTATATCAATCTAACAGGTTTCACTTGTATTAAAGCTTCATCAGATTGACGAAGCTTTAATAAAAATGAAAAATGTTAGACTGATATATATTTTCCTAGATTGATATATATTTTCTTTATTTTATCATTCTGTCATATTCTGACCTGCATTGGTCTTTAACTCATATATATAGAGAGTGTGATGGGTAAATTGTTGCCATTTTATTGCTTTCATTTTGCATATGTGCATTGTTTTTAATATTGATGACTTCACAGTATAGTAGAGTCATTTGGCAACCATCAGTGAGAAAAAGAGCACCATAATGCAATTCACTTCACCAGAAATTTGGAAACTGCATGCTGTACTGCTTGGCATTGGCACCGGAGGCTCCAATATGAACATTTCAGAGTGTTTGCATGTTAATCTGAAGACAGTGTAGAGAATTCAGAAAAAGTTGAATGAGTCTAATGGTGATTACGAAGGTAAGGCAGTTTGGAAGACTCATTCTGATCATTCTGATTAAGAAAAGAACTCCCGAATTTGTTTGTGAAAGCCTCAGATTCAACATAGAGGCCTACATCATTCTGTACATCTGGCCATCTAAATCCCTAGATTGCAATCTGCTTGATTATTATGTGTAGGACACAGTTGAGTGAGAGACCAACAAAATGCCTTGTAACACCAAAGATAAACTGAAGGCAAGGATTATGGCAGCATTCACCAATTTAAGAAAGGAGACCATCCAGAAGAGGTGCAGGAGATTCCAAAGTTGTTTGGAGTCCATGGTTGAAATGGACAATCTTCAGGTCTGTGTTTAAACATAAAACAGATTGTTGGCATTGGGTGTTGACCTCAATGACCACTTTTTCATTTACAAATGCTTTATCATTGATATTGAGTACTTTAGCCCATAAATATAGAATACTTCAAAATCATTTTATATATATATATATATATATATATATATATATATATATATTATTTGTGTGTGTGTATTATATTTATATATATAAAGAAATTGATAAAAAGATATTTAGATATATTTTTGGTGGTTCCATAGAAAGAAAGTAGGATAAATAAAGACAAGGAGATAAATATGAAGGTTAATTTCTACTTGCTTTAAATTTACTGGCAGATCAAAAGTAATTATAAGATGAAACAAAATATATTATGCTTTTATATGTTTGATTGTACATTGACAGTCTAATCTATACACCTTTCTTTCATTCATTTCTTTTTCATTTTCATGCAGAACCTTTGATGACCAATTTTGTCATCCTTCTTAAACTGAATTGTTTGCTTTGTGTTAAAAAACACTAAAGTAAAATCTTTTATGTCATTTAGGTATCTCAGTGCAATGAACAGACATTAAGATTGAGTCAAGGATAATTCCAGTTGATGGAATGCCATAATTTTGGCACAAACATTGCAAACATAAGCTAAATAGTTTGCTTGTGCATGTGTGCATCTGTATCTATTGAAAGTGTTTAAGAAAATATCAATAAAACTAAAGTTTTCTGCTTTATTTATTATGATTTGTTTTCTATTTTATATAGTGTCCAATTTTAATTAACTAAACTTCACATCATCAAAGCCATAACAAAAACAGTTCTTTCTTTTTTTAATGATACATTTTATTAGAATTGCTATGAGCAGTAAATTTGCTCATATGTACCATCTTTACAAAAGAGAAAAATCATTGAAAGTCTTGGATCTTTTCTGTTAATTCACCTCAAAATAATTATATTTACTAAAATTCACACCAAATTCTCCCAGAGTGAGGCCCTTCCATTACACTCCTGTTGAGTTGGATGTGCTATCTTTAAGTATGTGGTCAGGTTCTACACTCACCCTGAAAAATAAGCCACAAACAGATTTTTTTCTAAATTGTAAAAAAAAATATCTTGAATATCATCTGCACTTATGAAATATGAATAATTTCCTGAGTTTTGATAATGGTTGTGGTTATTGTGAGGCCAACTAAATAAATTTTGATTTAAAATTTATAATTTCAAAAGCGTGTCAAAATTTATTAAAAAACAAAAAAACAAACTTTAATTTAAAATTTATAATTTCTTGGGGTGAATTAATATTTGCAATAAGTAACTTTACATTATTTGGGGTGAATTAACAAAAAAGATCCAAAGTTTTGTAAGACTTATAGTAACCATTAAGCACATTATGATGGGTGAAAAATAAAAAAGCAAAAACCAAGGAATTTTTCATCATGTCCAAAATATTAACAAAATATTGTGAAAAACAAACATGTAAGGAATCTGGTATTATTCATTATTTTCAGATATAAGTGGATAGCATAATCATCACCTTCTTTCATAAGTTGGTTTCAAGTTAGTGTCAAAGAATCCTTCTCAAGTGGTTTGGTGGCATTTTGAATGAGAAAATTCTCAGAGATTCCACTAATTACATTATCATGTACCATATTTGCTGGTCCATTAGATGCATCCAGATTTTGGCATGGAATATTTAGGAAAAAATGTACACATCACAACCAAAACAAAATCAAAAATTATAACCTTACCTTTCTGCGACATTCTCACTAACCATGAAGAAATGCCTACAGTATTATCACAAATTATACTACTGGTACTTTCTTTTTTATAGAAGATAATGTTTAATTACCAGAACATTTTTGGAAAAGAAGAATTTTAGTACATTTCATCATGCATTTATTGAAAATTATTTTAGTTGTTTTTCATAGAGCAACATCTG